TTCACTAAAGCCTACCGTGTGATGCGCGCGAGAGCGGGCGGAGCAAAACTGGTAAATGAAATAAAACTGAAAGGGGAATGTAGTACGTTTGATTGCGGCAGCAGCAAGGGTACTCGCTACTTGCTGATCCGGTCGTCGACGATTCTTAGATATAAATAATGCTATTCTGCAGGTGTTGCCTGGGTTTGAATAGTTTATCAGTTTGCCGAGAGGATCATTGCGAAGCATCTGCCGATTAGCCAGCCGAACATTCGATTAACGAAAAGCAAATCGTTAACCCAAACGACAAAGCCAATCTATCTGACCCGTGCAGGGGCCGCACTTCCTTGAGTCTGCTTTCCACTGCCTTTGCTTGGATAGGAGCTTAACTTCCTAGCTACGGTCCACACAAGGGTAGTGGCAATGTAATAAATAAATGTGAAGTGAAATAAAACATTTACAGCGCTTTCGAACTTAAGAGCACTCTTAAGAACAACAGGGGGTACCCGCTCGAGAGCAGGGGGGATCGCAAAAATCCGGAAATGTGCGATAATGACAGTTGACCCTGGTCCCAACCATCCTGTAGTACCTAAATGGTTCTTCAGGCAGTGGAGAACTTGGCGACATTCACACAAACACATACACATACACCACACACACCGCATACACACACCGCACACACACACCACACACACTGCACCACACACACGCACACCACTTCCCGCCACTTATCATCAACCCCTCGCCATCTCGATCATTTGTATTTACATTTACATTAATATTTGCAACAATGTTGGACATATTTACACGTCGTTCATCATTCCTTGTCCTTCCTCGCCAATTGATACCACTCACCATCGGTGTCCCCGTGCGACCCTCCCCGCATGCAGTGTACAGCAGTGAGGGTTTCACTGTCACCACGAAGACTTCTACGAAACTAGTCGCCTGAATTCTTAGCCTTACTATCACTTGTTTTCAGTTATTATCACTTTTGACCACCCGATATCCGCCTTCTAGGACTGTGTGAGTGATAGGACGATCCTCTATACCACAAGCAAGTGCAAAGTTCTACTGTCACCGCGAAAGCTGCAACGTAAGTGGTGGTATCTACACTTTGGCGCTCCTTGTCTCTTCTTATCATACTGCCAATTTCTTTCACTCACCTTCTCAGTCCCCGCTTCACCCCTCACATACATGCATGTGTACAAATATTACTGTCAATGCAAATGGCGTAGCGGTGACAGTGGAATTTTCGTCCCGGCCCACGTTATCATTTCTTATCACGTACTATCACCTTCTTTCGCTCTCTGTTTGGATCCTCTTCCCACACTAAATCGTTCTCATTTATGCAAAATTTCCAATGTCAGCGCGAGCGAAATCAGTACCCGCCCCCCATCATTGCTGTCACTTGTAGCCCCCTATACGTCTTATATGTTTGAAGCTCTGGGACAGAAGGGAGTGAAGTTATGGATTTCCGATCGTACAGACAAACACACATACACAACGGTTTATCGTATCAAAAATCAGTTTGCTCCGCCCGCTATCGCGCGCATCACGCGGCAGGCTTTAGCGAAAACGGAGGACTCATGAAATATCAGCATGAGGTACTCCATTAACTACCTCCCTATTGAATTTGTTAGACCTTTCCCAGTTTCGCTGAAGTCCATCGAGAATAGGCGTGATAACGTTTGGAGCTGAACTGGCATATTTACTTGAATTCAAGTAACTTAGCGATGAATAGGATTGCTGTCAGTCTCAAAGTGAGAATGAATATGCCCATTTACAGAGTGAGGAGCTAGGTTTATCATTTATTCACATTTACCATTACCATTAATTCAGAAACTCGAAAGGAGGAGGATTAGCGGTTTAATGAATTTAGGCTTTCTTGATATTGCACTGGAAATGAAACTTGTCAATTACTGAAAACTTGATGGAGTTTATGCAATCGACTACTATGAAGTAAGCTGGTCATACAATGATACTATGTGCACGTCACTACAAATAGAATTTGTAGGTTGGGACGCTCTAGTGTCAGCGCAGGCTACGTAACGGAATCGACGAATTTCGCGTTCTGACCTTATCCTTAGTCTTATCAGCCTTTATCAATTGTGACCACTTTCTATCCTACCAACTATATTCCCATCCCATCCTATACAACGCATGAAGGTATGGATGCTCTAGTAAGCAAGCTGGGTAACGGAAGCGACGACCTTTGCGTTCTGGCGTGCCTTATCAGCCTTTATTAATTGTTATCACCTCCAATCACCTAGCAACAAAGTTTTCGCCGCACCCCTTATAACACTTGAAAGTATGGTTGCTCTGGTGTCAATGCGAGCTAAGCAACGGAGTCGACGACTTCGCGTTCTAACGGATCTTGTCAGCCCTGATTGGTTGTTGTCGCTTTCAGTCATGTACCACCAATGTCCGGAGACCACCTCACATACCTCTTGTAAGTATGGGCGCCCTACTACCAATATGAACGACAAAACTCGTTCCCTAGCCCCTCTTATTAGCTACCAGTTTTGCTTCGCCCGCTATCGCGCGCATAGCCCGGCAGGCTTTTGCGAAACTGGAGGACCCATGGAATATCGGCATAAGATACTCCATTAACGATCTCACTATTGACTATGTTAGACCCTCCACAGTTTCACTAAAGCTCATCGAGAATACGCGTGATAACGTCTGGAGCTGAACTGGTATATTGATCGCAACTCTGTAAACATCCAGCATTTTTCTTGAAATAAGATGATTAAGCGGTGAATAGGATTTTCCTGTCGCCAGTCCCAAAATGAAATTGAAATATGCCTCTTTACATAAGTGAGGAGCTGATGCTTATCATCCATTTACATTCACCATTATTTAGAAGCCCGAATGGAATGGCGGTTTAATGAATTTGGGTTTTCTTGATAGTGCGTCAGAAATGAAGCTTATCATTTGCTGAGGTTTAAATTTATGCAGTCGAATCCTATCAATAAAGCACACAATTTGTAGGATGGAACGCTCCAAAGTCAACGCTGCGTAACGGACTCGACAACTGCGGCGTTCTGGCGCGCCTTATCGGCCCTTATCAATCGTTATCAGTTTCTGGCACCCACCAACAATGTCCCCGTCCCACCCTACACAACACTTGTAAATATGGTTGCTCTGGTGTCAACGCGAGCCCGGTAACGGAATCGACGGCTTTTGCGTTCTAGCGCATCTTATCAGCCATTATCAGTTGCTGTCGCTTCCAATCATGTACCACCAATGTCCCGGGACCGCCCCACATAACACTTGTTAGTATAGACGCTCTTTTACCAATATGAACGGCAAAACGAAATTGGCGATGCGCGCTTTCTAGCCCCTCTTATCAGCTATTATCAGTCGTTATCACTTCCTATCACGTACCACTTGTGTCCCCATCCCACCCCCTATAACATATGTAAGAACCACTGCGCTATCGTTACTGTGACTCGAGCTATGAATTTCCGGTCAAACGTACATACACACACACCAACAGACACACGCTAGCCGCTTATATATAGTAGGATTATCGGTCGTTATCAGTTTCTGTCACATACCACTTAATTCCCCATCCAACTAGGGTCAACCCCACGTTGTTGCGAGTAACAACGCGGGGGTCGTACTCAAGTGAGCTTGGAGGGGGGTCGTACTCTCCCGAAGGCCGACAGTGAGATTCTTGGTAATACCGGATAATAGCGAACACGCTACGTTTTCATAATATGGCTAATACTGGAGCATCTATAACCCACGCTTCCTTCTAAATGAGCTTTCAAATGAATCAGCGAATTAGAAGGGCGCCTGAGGCGTGGCGCCCACGAAGACAAGTGATATGGTGCAAGCGCATGCTCGAAGTTTTCTAGCACATCCTGAGTTAAACATGAAATTGGTCTTCCAAGAAGTTACGGGCAGTAGAATCTGAGAAAACCCGCGTTTTCAAGCTTGAATCCTGTAGTTTGTCAAAGCGTGTTCAGCTTCCCAAATGAATGACTTTGAAGGAAGTTATGATCGTTTTAAGGTAAAAAAAAAGTCGCTGCTCCAGAAAAATCTAACGCAACCCCCCAAAAAGTAACAAAAGGACTAATTTTTGAACTGCTGACTTTTCAGGAACGTTATGGAGCTCGTTAGAAAAATTGAATCCTGTTGTTTGTCATAGCGTGTTCAACTTCCCAAATGAATGACTTTGAAGGAAGTTATGATCGTTTTAAGGGTAAAAAGTCGCATTTGCTCAGAAAAAATGTAACAACGCACTAAATTTTTAGTAAATTAACTTCCGAAGAATTTCTACCCATGGTTGAGAGAGAATGATTTGAGTTTTCCAAATCAAATCACTTCGGCGCAGAAGCTCGAATATGAAGGAAGTTATAGCCCGAGAAAGAGGAGTGTAAAAATTGCGTTTCAGTTTTACAATTTTTTTTTCAATTTTCAATTGTGTTGAACTCAAGAACGTGAAGGTTTTCAATATTTCAATTGGAGCGACAATATTTTCCGACTTCTCATAAGTTTTTATCAGGTAATATTGTTAATATTCCGGTCACTGGTTCAGTTTATTTTTCTCCTAGTTTGGTAACCCTTTGTAGTACACGGATATCTTTGAATGCATCTCATTTTTTCGTGTTTGGAAGCAGCGATGAATATCTGTCCTGGATTTTGCTAAAGTTTCATCTTTGATGACTTACGTAGCAATAAAATTGATGGTAAACACTGTCTCTACACAAGTGTTACATACAAGGGGGGTCGTAAAAAATTTCCAAAGAGTAACAACGATAGGGTTGACGCTGCATCCAACCCCCTACAACATATGTGAGAACCAGTGCGCTATCATTTCTGTGACTCGAGCTATGAATTTCCGGTCGAATGTACACACAAGCACACTCACACCAACAGACACACTTAGCCGCTTATGTATAGTGGGATAGTAGTGTCCTCCATTTTAACTTGCAAGCCGCTGAAGACTCCTCTTCCACATGCGATCAAATTACCGTGACCAATGTCTTCAAATGATTTGCCTTTTCCGGGTACTAGGCCGTGCCGATAAGATAGCGCGGGCGGGTTTCCACCCCCTCTTACTCGAAAGGGTTATTACAACAAAAATTGTCGAAGCTCACGCGTACAGTACGGAATTTCAGTGAGCAAGAGTGGCATAGTGGTTGGAAGATATTGATTAAATTTAATTAAAGGAGGTATGAACGATAAGAATGAAGGTCGGAGAAGTGAAGAAGGGGATTTCACGTAGTGGAGGGACAGGCGGATCCCTTGAGGGGTATGCCCTCCCCGATATGATATGGTGTTCCCTACGGGCAATTGGCCGACCCACTATCTAATCGCTCCATTCGCAGCGAGTGATTAGATAGCAGAGGCGGAACGTTTGCGTTGGGCACAACGATGAGAGCCGCTCAACGGGCGAGAAAGGGGTCCCATTTTTTGGGTATCGGGCCGTTTCACATGGTCTCTTCTTCATCCCTGCTACACAAACCACCTCTATCCTTCTTTGCAATTAGCAACCTTTTGATTGCAACATCCGCCTGTAGGTTTCCTTGGAATTGATATTGAGAACCTCCAATAAATTTCATCTCGTTTTCGGATAGAACAGACGTCAGATGGGAGTCATCTTGTTTGCAAAACGCTTCCGCTCTATCGAAAGTATGTTCATCGACACCAACATCGTTCATCTTCGCCACCTGGAAGAGACCGCAGTGAAATGATTAATCTGTTCGAAATAGCAGTCATAATTCAATAGCAGACTCCGCCGACTCACTTTGATTACTGCTTCATCGACACCGTCGCGTAGAGTAACCCATGCACCTAAACTGGCTCTTGAAACCGTATCGTCGTCGATAGTAGATTGGCAGACCGGGTAGAGGCTCCATAGGAGCAACACGAAGCAGCGAACATAGAAGAGCACCATCATCACTCAGCAGGGAAAATGACCTCACCCCATTCTTCAGCTTTTATAGTGTTCCTTATCACGATGATCACCACGCCTTATCAGATGCTTGCTTCGACCAGCAAAAACGTGCATTGTTTTCACTACGTATAATCTTCCCATTCTAAGGTTTTTAACGTTTACGTGACTGACGTTTTTGGATTACGTATGTAATTGTGTGTGAACCTTTGCAGTACCCGAAACAGGAAGCCTATTGTGCGGGCAAGGGCCAAATAAATGCAGATACAGAGCAGATCACCATGCGAGTTGTCCCAGCTATCCTTGCGGCGATTTACAAAGACTGTGGAAGAGAAGGCAGGGTAGATTGCGTGAAGTAAACAAATCGCTCATTCCTCTGCATCGCCGACTTCTCGCTACGCGATAGGCTTTCTCTCAGGTAACCTACCCCTTGTACCCGGCTTCTAGTGTGCCTGCACTGCAGGCCGTAGAAAATTGTAGTTGTAGTGACAGTGACGTCAGCCTTGGCCTCGCACGTGCCAACGAAATAGTTGAGTGACTTTTCATACTATTTGTCACTAGTTACTACTGGCTGTCACTGATGAACTATCCGCCGTCATTATGAACAATTAATGAATAAATTTTTTTGGAAACTGCCGTCATTTGTAATGTGAATCTACAGCGCAGACGCAGGATTTGAAGGTATGCCCTGTTCCGACGACCAGAGGCTCAACGAGTGCGGACCTCCCAACCCAACATACGAGGCCTCCGCAAAGTGTAAAAGATTCCTAGCAGTGATAGCCGGTTGCAGTTGTAATCTATTTGTTGACGCTTATTGCAATTATCATATATCATCTATTAGCATTCACTATGAGCAGTAGTTATCAGTTTTACTAGAAGGCCGTCGTCGATCACGTAGTGCTGTCTGCCCTCAACATGTTTATGGTTCTTGGTAGCCAAAGATGCATGCGTGAATATCTGCTTGTCCGTCCACAAACCCCGTAGCTAGGATCATCCGACCAAATGAAGTTTAGGCGCACGTTTTCCCTCCTATCTTCTCTTATCCTTAGCACTGAAGAGCACTCATTTGGACTTCCTCTTTTCCCAAAGAATCACTGCTGAGGTGTGTCGTCAGTTTCTCGATGATAATATTGACAACGCATAGCAGCACACAACTACAATTAACACGTTGACGACCGCGCTATTTTTCGCTGTCTGGCGTGTGGGACCGCGCGCATTATTTTGACCGCGCGAGTGTGACATGACATCATGTTACACGGCCCTACGAAAACTCCTTTTTCTCATGAAGTGTGCATTTGTTATCTTTCTTATGTGGTAGGTCTCCGATTATGCGATTTTTGCCATTTTAGCGATTCCTGTGATTTCATCATTATTCACATTTTTTTAGAGAAACTCGATAGCCCATCAACCGAAGCTTCTTTCCAGGGACCACGACTTTTATAACAATGCCTAAGTATGGCGCATACATCACGTAAATAAGTTACCTAAAATGTTTGAAAACCAGCGTAAAAAACACTGTGACATGACATCACGTCACACGGTCCCACGTGACCGAAAGAGTGTGGTATGGCATCATACCACACGGTCGTCAACGTCTTAAGCAGTCATCGCTCATGACAATGCCAGACCTCATGTAGTTCAGAGTACTCAGCAGTATTTTGACGAAAAGAATAGTGAACTTGGATTCGGCCGTCTTATTCGCCCGACCTACGGCCGTCTAATTTCAACAGTTTTGGTCAACTGAAAGCACAGATCAGTGGCAAGCGTTACGACACTTAGTCGATCGCAGAAACAGAGGTTCGGACTGTTTTATCTGGACTGTTCGAGCAAAAATCCGCTTGGCGTTCAAATGCTTCCTTAACTGGGTACTGGTCATCAACAACACGTGGCCTATCTAAGTGGAGGCTGAAATATCTGCCCTATGTGCCTTTTGTTGTTCATTTTATTCGAATAAAACTGTAGACATGTTTGAATGAGATGAACTAATAATTCGTTGGCTAACCGCAATGACGTTCCTCTTCTTATCATACACTGCTTACCCTGCTATATATAATTCGCTAATTGTACAGTCGATATCCGAAAGTTGGGGCAGGTGTGTCACCGGAAGTGACGTGCACTTGATAGAAGTAGCGTGGATAAGCTGCTGCCAGCATACTTTGCTGATATGCAGCGATTTATGTTGGAAGCAGGTTATCCACATAGATTCTATCTTTCGCACACCTCAGCAACACATTGGGGCGTTGATTCGAAGAAGTGATGTACAGTGTGGTACGGGAGCATGTCTGGTGGGAGACAGAGCGTGATAGGGGCTATAGTAACGATGTGCGTAAGAACGTTGCTCTAAACCAAATAATAGATAAGAATTAAGCTCATTTGAATTTTCGACCGCTACTCTTTCGAAAGTTCCTGGGAATGTCTGGCGGATGTTTGAGGAAATGCGATAATGGCCACTCGGTATTTATATTCCAGCATTATTAGCATCAAATATCATCCGATCGCTAAATTACCCTTACGTTCGACGCATAGGTGGTTGTATATATCCATTGCTCTATGGAGCGTATCATGCGGCGAGCTTTAGCAAAAATGGGGAGGGTCAATTACCAGTAGTGGAATTATTAAAGAAGTTATGGCGATTGCGAAAAAATTAAACAAAAATTTGCCAAGGTACGCGCATAAGGGGCTGTCGTCAACTAGTTCCCATTAGCACGTTGAAGACATCGCACGTTTTGGGTTTTCGCACCTTGTGGGACAGGGGCGCTTTTGCGGGCACGGCCGCTGCACCTCACACCGTAAATTTCGAACGATAACCTTGCGGAACTTCAAGGGCACGGACCATTTCAGCAATATTCAATGCGTACAAGTAATATCGAATAAATAATCGAAGATAAAGCAGCAAAATTTCGATCAAAAAACGTGAAATGGTAAAGAAAATTGGAGTTTGAGTCCTCCTCTATGTAGTGAATGCCAAAGCTATATTCGATTTTTATGTGTCAAGTTGAACATATATCTTTCTATCTCTTCAAGGTTGTACTTACTCATTACCCTTTCTCACTGACATGTTCATGAGAATAGGGAGAAAACGAGGGATGAACCGAGCTATCAATTCCGCTGTGCTTAAAGAACTTTCACTAATTTGGTGCATTTTTGATCATACCGTGACCCATGTCGTTAACGTTATGTTATGTTGTAATCCATAGCATAGAGGCAAGCAAATTGGGCAAAATCCCCGCATACGCTAGAAAAAGGTATGACAAGGGTGAGACGCGCAACCGCGTCTCAATGTCCAACGAGGTGCGCAAGGTGGGACGCGTCACTGCGTCTCAGTGTCGTCAATTTGTTAAACTCATTCAGATCTAACTATTGTCGAAGGTTGTCCTTATTTTTTTTGGTCCGTTCATGTAGCAAATAAAGCAAGTTTTTTGATAAGTGCACTCGGTGATCATTTTGGCTTTCTTGAGCATTTAGTTTGCCTCAGAATTGTTGACCACTATTAGTGGAACGAATACGATCATAAGTCAACCCTTCGACGACAAAGGCAATTTGCACGTGCTCGTGGGACCACGCTTCATTTTGGTGCGCCCAAACTTCCAATAAATTGGGTAAAATGCTCCTTAAGCTGTTCTTCCATCGAATAGTTGACTTTGTTGATGTATGAATACAGTTAGTTTATAAATTGCTTCAAAAAGAATGAGAGGTTCGGAGTAGAGCTCGGATTTGAAAGGGGTAGAGGGTGGAAATCACATAACCTGATGAGTACAAAAGAATTTCTCATAAACTTTAAACCCCAAACTGTGTCGGAAGCATATAAAAAAGCGAAGAAACCTGGTTGAGTTCTTGTTAGGTGTTCAATCTTTACAGGAACCGTGCTAAATTTTTACTATGCCAGCGAGGTAAGTGCTGTGCGCCAGATTCACTTCACTTTCATTCCATCACATAAACCAGAAGTTTGGTGTGTCGATTTGTTTGTGTGTGTTTGCACGTCTGTCTGTCCGTCCTCAAAATGGTCGACTAAAGGCGAAAGATATCGTGATTGTGACACCACTTTCCTACCAGTATGAGAACAGCCATTCAGTAGGATAGAGTTCATTTCGGGGGTTCGGCTGGAAAGCAAGAGCTGAGGATTAGGTCTGTGGGCAGTCACCGCGCGATGTCGCACAAGCGGCTTGCCGCGTGCGGGAAACCGCGCGAGAAATTCGAGCAAAGTTTCAGGCATTTACTGCTTCCCGCACCTGTATGTTCGTCAGTTACTTTCCTTTGTTTCCTTTAACTTCGTTCTGTTCGTTTTAATTTTTCCCTCAGTCTTTCTCGATTTTTTCTTTTCACTAAATACGACTCAAGCGTTCGCGTTGACACTAGAGCGTTCATACTTACAAGTGCTATGTGAGGTGGTACCAGGACACTATGGGTGGGATGGGATGATGAAAACCAATAAGGGCTGTCAGGGCGCCTCGAACTCACAAGTCCCCATTCCGTTGAGCAGCCGACATTGACACTTGAGCGGGGAATTCTATCGATATAATCAGCTTGACTTGAGCAGGCTCTTGGCGAGTGGTACGTTCCATTCTTCTTCTAATACCAAGAAGACCAGAACTCATTTGAAGGAATCCTTTACGGAAAAACCATGACTCTATTTCAACCATAAGTCGTAGGCTTGAAACTCTTTACCCATCATTAGAATGAAAAGAACAGAAATATTGCTTTCGTTTTGGTACAAAATTCGAAAAATCGAAGTGGCTGCTACGCGTTCAAATCGCCCACGGACGTCACAAATGCTGACGACGGGGATGCTTCCACTTGGTTCTTGGAGTGCCTGCACTAGAAACTTTCAGACTTCTTAACTTACTACAATCTCATCTCACACTCCTACTCAATCAGGGTGAATATCGCTTGAGGATTTCTAAACGGCACATCGAGGGGGTTCTCTGCCCGATCAGACACGATCTCTCGCGCGGATATCCACACTCCATGCGAGTGCCGTCTGCGCCCTCTGCGCAGATGTTCACTCT